TATATATTGTTTTCAGAGATAAAATCTTCTGTATCATGTCTTCATCTCACTCCAAGTTAAACATTCTCTTGAAAAATAATTCATAATACAGTATATACAAATTAAACTGAGTAAAAACCACAACATACAAATATCTCTTCAGCTAACCAAAAAGAAAAAATAAGTAGGTCCTCTGGGTGTTTCAGTAAAGAAGAACCCATCCAGAGGACCTACTTATTTTTTCTTTTTGATTTTTTTTTCTACCTGGATTACTGAAATACATCAGGACACCCCATTCACTTAAGTTTGACAATTTTCTGACCTATTTAAAAGTGTTTTTTAAAGGTACATATTGTACACCTGATCCTCCAAAAGGGACTTGATTTTGTGTCTGGTTTTACTACCATCTTGTTTATGTGAAAATATTTCAGTTTTATACAACTTTTTATACACACTTTATGATGTATTCATTGCTCAAGTTAGTGAAGAAATCTAGAAATCATGCCACAGAACAGAGAGGAAAACATTGTTATAACATTTGTTGCTGGATGGATTTTCTCCAAACACAACATCCCCTGATTTCAAGCCTAACAGGAGTCTCAGACAGTGGTTGGTCCATCCTAGGAACAACACAAACTGAGCAGTGTTGTGTTCAGTGTAGAGAGGATATCTACATATTTTGGAAAACAGCCTTTCCACAGATGCATGAGACAACACAGGAGAGTTAGATCTTCAAGACAAGACTCAGCTGTGCACCTACATCTCAACAATGAAGGACATACTTTTGAGGACCAAAATGTTCATAATTTGGTCGATGATTAGAGGAAGCCATTTATGTCAGTGAGAAAAAACAACAACTTTAAACAGAGTAGAAAGTCTCATATTTCAGCTTACAACAAAGTATTAAAATGCCTGAAATCCAGACATTTTGCCTCTAATTAACACCTTCATGCATGTGATCTCTCTGTGAGCCAGGCAAACAACCCAGTGGAGGAAGGGGAGTGAGTTCAGATGCTTAAACAGTGCACTCAAGCTTGGAACTCTACACAAACATGTTTTGAGATAAGAACACTCCTTGGATGGGAAGAAAACCATCAGTTCAGTTCAGTTCTTTCAGTTTGTTGAAACTGGTTTTGTTTGGCTGTGACCTGGATGACTGAGATTCTACACCAGCACGTTGTTACAATAAGACAGGTCATAATAGCTGAATGGAAACAAGCTTTTCAGAAAATATTTAATAAGTTTTTTGTAAATCATGATGAGCTAAAGGCAGATTTTATGTGGGACCCATGCCCATCATGATGCTTTACTCAGACCTGCAATGATTTTTGCCCTAACTTGGATCAAGGTTCAACTTTCATCTCCACCAAGCCAAGTCTTTCATTTCCAGACCAGTTTGGACAAATATTCTTATGCATTAAACACAGTGGACCTTTTATTCGTGGTTCTCTCACTCTGGCTATGTTTCAGATGAAGACCGTCTGTCTAGGAGGAAGAGCATCGTAGACACCGTCTCTCTGCAGATGGACACGGACCTTCAGTGCAGCTCTGATGCACCTCAGGTTTGTTTCTGTCAGCCAGCAGGTCTGTCTGTGGGTCTGGACTATGAATCTACTCATGTACCTGTCTGTGTTCTGCAGAAACCTCAAACTGAGCAGATCACTTTTGAGATGCTGAAGAACACCATTGGTAAGCATCCAGTTCCTCATGGTTCTACATGCAGATCGTTTTTATTTGAGATCAAAAAACTTCTTAAAAACTTCTTAATTTCAGAGGACAGAGGGCCTGTGGAAGAGGAAGAGAGGAGGAAGAGGATGCAGGTGGTGGAGAGGTTTCAGACAGCTCCTTTTGAGGAAATATCAGCTGTCTGTGGATCCCGGGTGAGGCACTTACTGTTATCTAATGAACACACAGTGATCTGGGCCCTCATGCATAAAGGAGTGTGTAGCTTTCACACTAAAAGTTGACGTACGGAAAAATTTAGAAAAGTGTGCCACACCAAAATAGTTAGATGCATAAAACTGTGCGCACGCAGGTTCCTGCGCATCTTTCCTTTATACATCCCAATGAATGTGGAACTGAGCGCACGTAAGTAATTAAAGTTTTATTTATATAGTGCCTTTCACAGAAATAAATTCCCAAGGTGCTGTTCAAACAGTTAAGAACACCCATTCAAGAAGACACACATGACAAACATGGGGGAACAGGTGAACAGGTCATGCAGCAACAGAGACAGACAGTTGCATGAGAAACATCCCCTGACATGCCTCCATTTAAATTTGTAAAATAGATGTCCAGCACGTGAGATTCTCCTCAAACTGTCCTCTCTGTGGGATCAAAAATGATCTTTAGATGCAGGAAAATTATACATTAAATGGAGAATGAGTGAGAAAACTGTCTAAATAAGTAGTGGGGTGTCATGTGGCGCATTTACACGCGATAACCAAAGCCTGAGATTTTCCTGAAATTTACGGACATCTCCCGAATGTGATATTGAAGCCTGGTTAGTTGTTGTCTATTTGAACACGTAGTTGAATGGATGTAAAAAATAAATAAATAAAAATAAAAAACAATAAACATCAAGTTATCCACTTTTTCCGCTCTCCTTTCCTCCTGCGTTGCAGCAGGCGCTGTCATCTCCACAGACAGACCCCCACCCCACCACCACGCGCATACGAGTGGTAGCTTACAGATTTTTAGCAAAACATAGATTTTTGAGGCTCATTCGACAGGTAAACGTCCAAAGGGGTTGACACATATGAACACCTTCCCAGCTGGCGAGGGTGCACACACCTGGCGCAAATATCTACCCAAAGTGCAGCTGCTGCGCTACGGCCACAGCTCAACACTCAGCATCAGCCAGAAGGTTACACACAGAAAAAATAATTATTCTTACTGTACAGTGAGCCACCATTTGCATCTGATTTTGCTCCCTCTCTTCAGCCTTTTTTATTACTAATTTTTTTTATGCCGCACGTAATGTGTCGGGTTTTTCCGGCCCCGGACCCAAAAGGTTTTCAACTATGTGACAAAAATATAAAAACAGTTTACAGACTGGGCTGAGGTTCTTTTGATCATTTTTAGACTGATTTATTTTCTTGTCTGAGGTTAAATGATTTTCAGTCCCGGGGTTCAGTTTCATGATCGTTTGAGTTTAAACAATAAAAATCAAACTAAAAAAATGAATAAATAAATCTAACACCGTGTTCAGACGCTCCTTACATCCAGAAAACTGAACAGATTTCTGTGGATTCAGGTCAGATTCATGACTTTGAGAGTTAAAACTGTCAACTGAAAAACTTTGCGTGGCTGCCGCAAATTCTCACGACGGCAGGTGAAAAGTGTGTGTATATTTACGCACACTTTCACCCAACGTTGGTTTTGATACATCCCAATGTGGGCGTAGAACCTGGCGCACGCAACATTTTTATGCGTACGCACCGTTTATACATGAGGCCCCTGGTTTAGTTCACAGGAAGTTTTACTTCAGTTTAAAATCATCACAAGTTTTGATTTTGATATGAAAAAATTATTAAATAGTCCAAGCAAAGCCAGACTCTGGGGCAGCTGTGGCTGAGTGATTAGGGGAGTCGTCTTCCAATGTGAGAGTTGGCAGTTCAATTCCACAGCTATTCAGTCATGTGTCAAAGTATCCCTGGGCAAGGCACTGAAACCCCACTGCCTCTGATGTGTGTCCCATCAGTGTATGATTGTGGTTTAAACATTAGTCTCTATAGACAGGGTTGCACATAAAATGTTTGGTCTGGTTCTCAGGGGAGAACCTAGGGTTGTTGCTTGGTGCTCACTCATATTTTCCTTCACTCATTTAACACATTTATCTAGAGGGGAGCCCGGGCATCTAACGTCCCCCTGTTCTGTTTTATGACTCCTATCAGCTGCAACGTCTCATGCCAAATTGGTCCACCGAGTTTTTTTATTTTATTTTTTACTCTACACAAATTTTGTAAAATACCTAAGTGGCTGAGGGGCTGGGTGTATGTCATATAAACATCACAAACTGAACATTTCATGGTTAAATGTCTTTTAGACTACACATATCCCTCAGATGGACAACTCTTGATTGGTCTTCTGCACCTTCGGCCTTGGTTAAACCAGCTTTCCACTCTCCAGACCAACCAGCAAATATCTGTTTATTTGCACAGAGCAAAATAACTTAAAACATACAAATGTTTTATTTGTTAGACTGAATTCTTTTTAAGACTATTTTATTCAAAAATATTATATTATTTAGATGGTTTCAGCTCGTATAATTATTTATTCTTCATATTTGATCATTTATTTAATTACATTTATCCCAGAAAAGCTGCATTACAGGATGGTCCTAAATATAAACAAGTTTACATCAAGAACCTTTTTTTAAATAAAATTGTGAATAAAATTTGTGGATCCTTATGGTAAATTAAAATAACATTTAAAACTTATTCAACTAGAGAAAATGGCAAGTTGTTTTTATATAATTTTTTTGAGGGGGGTGATGTTAAACAGAGAATCATCTTTGTTTTAATATGGGGCAAACACATGTTCTGCTAGAGTTAATGTGGTTTAATTAGAAGAACTGTGGGACTCTGCAGTATCACAGAAAGACTCTGCCTGCACGTGCAGCGATGCACAGCAGTCTCTCATCAGGAGGAGAGAGTTTAGTCTTTCACACAAAGTTGGACAGATCTGTTTGAAAATGACGCTCTGAACATATATTTCAAATAAAGTTAGGTTTTACAGACCAAAGTCCAAGTAGCTCAGGAGCAAAGTGCAGGAGGAGATGTCAAGCCGGGTTTCCACCACCAAAGACATTTTGAGCAGGCAAAGGAGCCAGTTTTACATGCAAGTCTGACTGCAGCAGCCGCTGCTTCAACCAAACTTGCTTGGATAAAACGGCTCTGGACTTCGTCTGATTTGTTGAAGGCAGTGTCCATTTAATCCTTATGTCAGGGTCCTGTTGTCGGCTTGGTGAGCACAGAACAACAATCCATTCACACCAGTGCAGCTGGATTTTTTAATTTTTATTTATTTATTTTAAATCAAATCGCATTTGCCACCAAACTGGTCGCACTCTAGAGCCCTGCTAACTGTTGTTTTGACAGACAATCAGGTACAATCTTAGGTACGCAAGTGCGCTTTATGACATTACATCAGGTGCGTTTTTCCTTTTTTTGATTGCGCATGCGTACCTGCGCACCACTTATGTGCAACTCTGTCTACAGACTGATTTGCCTGTATAAGCTTTGTAGCGACCTAATAGAGTGGTGTGTGAATGGGTAAATGAGGACACAGATTGTAGTGTAAAGCACTTTGAGTATCCTGGTTGAATAGAAAGGTGTTATATAAGTACAGTCCATTTATCTTTTTGACTGAAACAGTCTACCTAACATTGAGCCACTGAGGGGCACATTTCAGCGTCTGAACATTCTGATCTTAAAATGACTGATCTTTGTTTTGTCTGCAGACCTCGTTGCTTCATTCCAAGCTTAATCAGGTCTTCGATCTGATCATTTGTCCTCCTCCATCTCCATCTGGACAGTCGCCTCGCCGTTCGACACCACTTTACGAGATGAAGTTTCCTGACCTCTGTGTCTATTAGAAACTCAAATACTGATGAGACAAAGCCCTTCAAAAGGAAAACATGACAGAAGAATGGATGGATACATATAACGGAGCATGAATTGTTTTTATTTCTCACTTTTAATTTATTTTTGTTCTCTTTCAGTTTGATCATCAGAAGAAAAATCAAACAAAAACACTTTCAAAAGCTTTTAAAAAGCTGTCCTATGCATCTCAGTAATCCAGGTAGAAAAATCAAAAGGAGCAATAAGTAGGTCCTCTGGACGGGTTCTTCTTTAATGAAACGTTTTGTCTCTCCTCCAAGAGACTTCTAGTTGGAGTTCCTGGACTGTGATGTCTCAGTTTCTGATGGAGGACGGTTAGAAACTGACGTGTATCYCAAACCCACCCATACAGACCAGTATTTGCGTTTTGATTCTCATCATCCACTGGAACACAAGTTAGGAGTCATCAGAACTCTGTACCACAGAGCAGACAGTGTCCCTACAAACACAGGAGCCAGAGAGAAAGAGAAGTCACACACACGACAGGCCCTGGAGCAGTGTGGTTATCCTGAATGGGCTTTTCTGAAAGCAGACAAGAAACCCAAACAGGATTCCAGCCAAAAACCAGCTGAAAATGAAGACCCTAAACCCAGACCCAAACCAGTCGTCATTCCATTTGTGGTGGGAGTTTCAGAGAAACTGAGATGTTTATTCTTTAAACATGATGTCCCAGTGGCTTTCAAATCCCAAAACACGTTACGACAAAGATTATTTCACCCCAAAGATCCAGTTCCCCGGCAAAAACAGAGTAATGTTGTATATGCTGTTAAGTGTTAGGAGGACTGTGATCAGTCATACACAGGGGAAACAAAACAGCCACTGTTCAAAAGAATGAGCCAACACAGAAGAGCTACATCATCAGGCCAGGACTCTGCAGTTTACACTCACCTACAGGTCAGGACTCTGCAGTTTACACTCATCTACAGGCCAGAGGTCACTCTTTCAGGGATGGAGATGTTCTCATCCTTGATAGAGAGGAACGTTGGTTTGAGAGAGGAGTAAAGGAAGCCATCGTTGTGAAGAAAAACTGTCCACCATTAAATAGAATTGGAGGCCTTTGTGTCCAGTTGTCCTCCTCCTACAACGCTGTTATTGCAAGTATGACTCCGCCCCCTGTGAGCAAAAGGTGTGAATCAGGGCATAGTCAGGTGATGGAGCACATGACCCTCTATGAACAATAGAGCTAATCAAGGCACTAACAACCAATCGTTGGGCTGATGGTCCTCTCTTGCATGTGACTAACCTGTTGTCCATGTGGAGGGAGGGCTTAAAAGACTGAGTTCACCTGAAACTCCTCAGACTGAAGATGTCTCTTGGAGGAGAGACGAAACGTTTCATTAAAGAAGAACTCGTCCAGAAGACCTACTAATATTTCTTTTAAAAAGCTCTTTTTTTTTCTCCACAGGTTGTTTGCTTTACTTCATTTGGCATATATTCTTGTATATTATTTATGTCATATTTCTGCATTTTTATTGGACTAATTCCTAAAGAATTCAGTATTATTGTCTGCATGTTGTACGTGAATTTTATACCACAACATATTTATAGTAACCTGTTGTTCTTACATCTGATTTTTTGAGATTTATTTTCTTTAGCTCTGAAAAAATATTAAAAATGGGCCATTGTCAGCCTATAGTCTGGACAAAGACTTTCGCTTTTTTTTTACATGCTTCATTCTTCATGATTGATGTCACAGGTAGTAACTCCAAAAATAACCATTTAAATAATTTTGTAAGATTTTAGTTAGACACCACATTCTTCTTGGCTCAAAACTTAAAGTTATACTAATTTAACTGGATATCAGTCACCAACATTTAAAACAGTGCATACTTTCTTGCCTGAAAATTAAATGAAATATGCAGTTTGACTTTCTGTAAAAACTGACAACCAAAAATCTCATCAAATGCTAAAATTTTTTTATTTGAGGTTTTGAAAGCTATGAAAAGAGAAGTCTCTATATAAAAAATAATTAATTTTTAGAAGGCGGGGCAAGATGGCGGAGGAGTGAGAAGTG